CTTACTCTGATCTAAGCTCTTTCACCGATAATCTTGATCAAATTCAGTCACTTCTCCTCATCGGGGCTAATCCTGAATCTCAGTAAATGTGCTGACTGTTTATATAGTTTTGCTTACTCCCCATATCCGACAGACCCCATCTTACTCTGCTGTTCTCCAGTTATTTTTCCTAGTTTACTCAAACAGGATTTTCAAGTCTTACGCCCCGGTCTAACCATTACTAGTCGTGTCTCTTCCATTCCAATGAAAGAATTAGCTGTANTTCCTGTGTGAAATTTGCCGAGAGGATTCTCACAGATCCTGACCACCCATTGCATGCAGAACTGACACTTTGTCGTTCCTACCATTCAACACGCTCCCGATTCCGTCAAATTTGATCTCGAATTAACGCATACCGCAACTCGCCCAAACCGTATCTTGCTCGTCTACTCATAAACAAAGAGCGGACAATAAGTGAACTTTGTCTTAACCTTGGTTATGCAATTTCCCCATGCCAGTAAAAACCTTTTTCCCCGTTGATTATATACAATGTGACGGTTAGCGTGTATAACTTTTTAACTGAAATGTGAGCTCCGGTGATTGCAAAAGTTATACACAATACAATACAATACAATATATACGTGTACACACACTTCAACCTTTAATCGTGACAGTAGAACTCCATTTACGTTATTCGTCTGCGCTCGCGTGTTCATACTACCCGTTTCCAAGTTTATTTGGAGATGTATTAGTGCGCTGACGGAAATGAGTGTTTGCATTACAATACCACAGAATTACATACATGCGGTCCTGTCTGCCGTTAGGTTGACGACATTGTCGGCTCTTAGTCGAGTAGTTTATCGCCCGTCTTTTTTTCGAAAACGGGAGAGATGAAAAAAATAGCAAGGTGAACTCACCCATGACAAAAGCCAATGGTTTGCCACAGAGCTACGAGAGTGGCGGTCCGTTGGACTACTTCTTCAAAAAACGCCAAATATAAAGAAGGCAAATTTGTTGGTACTCGCTTTGACCAAATCTGTCGGTAAGAAAAACAGAAATACGTAGCTCTTTGGAGAACATTTACTTTCGCATACGGGTAAAGATGAGCAAGATAGTCCGATTATAAGGTACGATCCGTTAGCATTAAGAGCACAAAAACTAATATTTAAGCTGTGTTGTGGCGTTACTGGACGTGTACTTCGACGGCCATTGGTTTTCTGGTCAAATCAACGAGCACTATTCAAACCGCATTTGGCTGAGGTGCCCAAGTGCGCCGGACATCTGAATTTGATCGCTGTCTTCGTCGAGATCGAATTCAGCTTAGGCTCGTGGAACTCCAACAGAATACCACTTATCATAACTCAACCCACTGGCCGATACCCTGTTGGAGAACCAATAAAACAAGTCACTTCTGCTTCTAAATCACGTCATGAAATCCCGTTTAATTCAAAATTCAACCTTGGTGCCGCATGTTACACCGTAATAAGAACATAACTGGTACACTACCAGGCACGTAGGGAGTTGTTGT